CATTTTGATTAATCTCCCTTTGTATGTTTCCTATATTTCTCTCATGATGAGTATTGGATTTCTCTTCCTCAGTCTATTATCACAAGTTTTTTATTTGCGTTTTTTTGCATTTTTCAGTTTTGATTCTTCTCTATTCCTTCTCTCTCTGTACATCAATCATGTCAAACGCAAAGGCTAGCACCGGCCAAATAAACAAGGTTTAAATTTATGGGGGTCGCAAAAAAATTAAATAAAAATTTCATGGAAACTTAGGTTTGTTTTGCAAAGTACAATATAAAAAACCCCATCATCCAACCCGAACCCAAGTCCCCCCTCTAGACGAATTCCCAGTCCCCTCTTAGTACTCTGCCTTAGTAAGCATGGCAAACTCACGGCTTGCAGGGCTGCAAAGATACTCATTGTGGGCCGCGAGTTTGACATGCCTGCTGTACATTCCATTATAAGTGTTTTTCCTGATCTAATATTTAGCTTGTGGTAATTACTTTCACACAGTTACTTTGTACTTTTACTTCCTGTAGTGGACAAGAAACACAGAAATACATGATGTCAATGCTAATACACGTACACACACACAGAGCTTGAAACCTATTGGTCATCCAATTACCACGAACAGAAGCAAACTGTAAGCATTGTAAGTTTAAATAAACTTTTATAACAGGAAGTTTAGTTATTACTCAGAATTCCCATTCTGCTCACAATTCACCAATTCGTCCATTTGTGTCAGACTGAGATCTATATACGCCTGAACATGCGTTCTCTCTATAAAATGTCTCCCGTCCTTCACCTGATGATACTGATTTACAAGTCGGTGCACGCGGCAGGTAGGTGTTTGTTTTATTATTTATAAATTACAAAGCGGTTTATATTGAAATCACATTGGTTTATTTTAACTAAACACCTGTTTGTTCAATTCCAATATGGCTTCTGCACTCTGACACATTATACTTGATACAGTTGTGCGTGTATAGGGATTCTAATAAGTAAATATTTTATAAAAAGCTAATTCACATATAAGAAATATGATGTTTGCAAGCCCTATAGCTATATTATGGCAATAGCCACATTTATAGCCACATTTATTTATAAAGCGCCAACAGATTCTACCGTGCTGTACAATTTGTGGAGGACGTAAAATATACACAGACAAATACAAACGGTAGAGAGAGCCCTGTCCGTAAGCTAAGATCTAAACATTTAAGCTCTTTAAAATACAAAGTACTTAGCTAGATAGCCCGTGAGCTTACAATCTAAAGGATAGACAAGAGGTAGCAGGGAAAATTTGGAAGTGATGGCTAGAAAAGTAAACAGAGTTGCAGCTATTGGTAAAATATATAGGGAATGAAGAGTGCTGTGTACATTGTGGCCAATCACCCTTCTGTAACTGCTATGAGAACCTCAATTCTACTGTCCAACACACAAGAACGTTCCTAACCAGGGATTGTCTGGGATGCTCACTACACAGTGTCCGAGAATGGACTGACTGTAATTACAATATAATTAGACACTTTATTACACGGTGCAGCAATAACAAGCTAAACATTACATTCTAATGACAGTGGAACTCATTCTGGATAATTTCAGTTACTCAATGTGACATCAGATATTCAGCATGGAGCTGTTAATGGAGCTTTAACTAAAATAGAGAAAGTTTATCAGCTTAGGTTCTTAGTACAGCTCTAGCACAACTAGTTCAAAGAGGCTCGTTGTATGGGTTTACATGTATCTATTTTCATCTTTTATACTGTGTTATGGGTTAATAATAAGTGATTGTGTAAATATAATCCATGTGTAACTACCTCCTGGTTTGTGTACATTACAATTGCAATTATTTATATAGCACCAACTTATTCTGCAGCGCTGTACAATGGGAAACAAGACAAACATTAAATTCTAACAAGACATGTATGACATACAGGAATAGTAGGTGGAGGGCCCTGCTCAAAGAAGTTCACAAACGAAAGGAAATATTGAAATATTCAATAAGGCATCTATTGTTAAATCGTGGCATTGTATCAGTATGTGTATCACTACGTGTGTTGTTGTGACTGCTGTGTTATTTATTGTGATGTTTCACTGTGTGTCTGTCTGTTTCTGTCTCCAGGTTATTGTGCAGAATGATGTGAAATGTTGATCTGTCTATTATTTAACATGTTTTCTGTTTTCAGATGTCGTTGTGTCTGTTGTCGCTGGTTCTATTGGCATTCTACATTGTGCACATTATCCAGGAGATACATTGATAATGATCTCATGGCGAATCCATCTTCTGTATAAAGCTCCCTGTTTGATGTCAATGAGAGATAACCAGACCTTCACCAACTGCACAGAGAGAGCAATACAGGACAATGTGACCCTGAAAATAATGAATACTGAAATAACCGATACTGGGATATACACCTGTGAAGTGGCAAATGCTGACGGGACATTCCTAAATAGCGTTCTGTTACAAGTATTAGGTATGACATAGATTCTATCAGTTACTGAATTATCATAATTGACATAAAATGTTTTACATTTAGCTGTAATAATACTGTCTTAAAATCAAAATACATGGTTTAAAAATATCCATCCATTCAGTCAACATCTACCAAGTGCAGCCTGGAAGTGAAGGAGATGTACAGCTCTATAAAGTAAGACGGCACGTTACATGATATTTACAGGGGGTGGTAAACTCCTTACAGGCTTCACATGGGATTTATGGTTTATTTTCTGGAGCTTTTTATCCATTGAGAGGTTTGGTGTGATTTTGCTCCCATTGTCAATATATCCCTGCTGCTATTTATTCTGTGATGTGGTTGATATGTTTAGCTAGAAAGCAGGCAAGATCAAGGCTGGATAGTGTAGGTCTGTGAGAAGAACATATCTCTAATATAGCGATTTTCATTCTTCTTCTGATTAAATAACCGAAAGCTGCCATTTTGAGATTTTTTTCTAAAAACCAGATGTGCATGTCTACTGGGCACCATGCTATGACAACTGGCAAACTGACTTTTCTTGTAAGAGATTGAATTGGGATAAAATGTGGTGTTTAGTGAAAAAAAACTGTATTTGTAATCGTAATGATCTGGCCTGTAAAGATCTTATACAGCCTGGTTGTTGTTGTTACAATAGTGGGACATGGCATGTTGGAATAAAATCCTTAAAGAACACATTGTTACGATAGCATAGACATATTATATTATATATCAGTTGTACATAAGGAGGTTAAAATATTTCACATACATTTCACATGTAACTGTATACAATGAAACTGAAAATAAAAACATAAAGTGTCATGTATGAAATGAGATAAGACACATTACATTTCCAAAACCAGACTTTTGTCAGAAGGACCACAATCTAGATTATGTTTCAGATATCGCACCATTTATTTTCCCAGTTCCTCCTTCCGTGTCTCTGATGATAAACCGAGATGGATCTCCTGAGTGTCGGGCTGTTGGTGGGAATCCAGCAGCTAATATTTCCTGGATTCCGGAATCAGATAATGTCACTACTAGAAGGGGAATGGAGTCGGACAAGACTTGGACAGTTATTAGTACATACAACGAACACGGAATCAGTGGGAGAGAAGTGAAATGTAATGTTTCTCATCCTGCATTTACTCATCCTCAGATAATGTCCGTTCTAATACCTGGTGGTAAGATTACAGTTTTACATTTTCTTCTATTTCCTGCAAAGAAAATACTCTTCATAGGATATTTATAGACCAATATCTTTAAATTTGTGTCTGATTAATAATTAACCCCTTTACTACCAAGTATTTTTTTGTATTAAATATATTACTGTAATGGATGATTGGTTTGTAATATTAATAATGATATTTTCATTTTAATTGACCCAGTCGGCAGTCTACTAATTTATAAGAACTGGTTATTATTGTGTAGTAAGCAGTAAACAGAATTAGGACTTTCACTTTAGCGTTAAACTCTGTACAGTCTGTGACAGCGCATTTCATGTTCTGAGAAAAGCTTCAGCGACAGTAAATTATATAATTTTAATGCTCATGTGTTTAGAGAGTTAAAATTAAACCACCAGTTTTATCAGTATTTATCATATTCAGTCTAATATCTAAAAATGAGTTATGTATATATATATATATCATTACAATATGTCTAGATATAATTCTCCCTTAACATAATACAAATAGTTATAAAAAACCTATAAGTAAAACATTTTCTTTGTCTACAGAAAACAGAAGTTATTCCAGGTGGATTGGGGTACCAGTTATCCTTCTTGTCCTCATCACAGGAGTATTGTTGCCATGGAAACGACCAACTTGCAGGTATTTTACATGCAATGGATTGACTGTTTGTTGTAACACGCAGCACTTAAACCCCGGATAAAGAAGTTTCAGGTCATTATTTCAGTAGACAGTCTGTGTATAGACATTCAGATTGTCAGTCAAAATCAGTTGAAAAAAATAAAAAAAATAAATATAAAAAAACCCAAAAAACATAATAAACACTGACTATAGCGCTCACTGATGGTTTTGTGCTGTGAGAGATGGACTCCGCTGTCTATATATCAAGGTCCATGTGATATGTAAGCCTGTCCAAGAGCAGGACATTAATTATGGATATAGAAATAGCTAATATACCTGAAACAAATACATGTATGTAGTATGTTCTCTCTATGTATGGTGTGAATGTCTGCATTCAGTTGGATTATTGATTATTCCATAACTATGAGTTTAAATGAAAATACTGTCTCTTTTAGATGTTCAAAATAAAGAAGACTTGGATCCAGACGTTGATATCAATTCAAGAACACGATTTGTCCATAACTCTGGGAGTGGATCATTAACTGAACAGAGTGATATGCAAAGATCTAAAGTGCTAGTTTTGGAGACAAAGGAGTCCATTCATTTAAAGTGACACCAAAACTACTACAACTTAATGTAGTAGTTTTGGTACCTGGTTGGTGTCATTTTACTGTAAGAATTGCAATTATTATCATTTGTGAGAAATGGAATGTTTACACTGGTCAATCACAGAAGAATACCTGGTTACCTGGCACCTGGGAAGGAAATGTATATAGCTACCCCATCGCCGAACAGGCTCTCAGTTCCTACCTTCACTATGATAAAAAAAAGGGCCCGGTTACGCCGTTAAAGGGCCATAGCGCATACCTAAGTGCATAGGCCACCTGATAATCCCACAAATCGTGTCTCCAGCTGCCCCGGCGGTAGTTCCAACACTGATTTGCACAGTCTGACCCTTGACTTATATTATTATTACAACTTTTTCTAGTTTTGCCTGATACCTTTATAGGGTAATTAATTCACGTAGTGCTCACTTTGTGATTTTTATCTTGTGAGGCTAAGCTCTGACAGAGGGGTGTTTGGTTAGAGCTGCTATACTAGACTTTAATCTTCTGGTTTTATAGAACTAATTTTTATTTGATCTGTTTTGTTTATATTTCTTTGAAGTCTGTAATGAAGTCCATAGTGTTTTCTAACCTCAGCAGCATTATGGGTACAAAATATTTGGGACTTTTTTGAATTATGATCACATTGACAACACAATTTCGAAAATGTTTTTGTTCAGATATAAATTGCTGGATTGTCATTCATTCTTTCTATTCCTACATAAAACATATTCCAGTTTCTAGAAGCCAACCAGTGTTTTGATATCTTATAGAATGCCACCAAATGCCTCATTGCACTCCAATGAAAACCCCACCATAATACTTCCTAAATATCTAGACATTTAATAGAAAGTTCACTCAAATGTACTAAGCTAAGATCCTCTTTAATATTATAATAATTAGAATGGTGTGGTAGTAATCTGATACAAAAAGTAACTTTTATTTAACCTTTATTAAAAGTAACCACTAAAAAACTCACAACAGTTTTAATTATAAGTTATATTGTTATTAGCCCTATAGTTGGTTAGTAATGCAAAATTATTCATAATAAACAAATTCCCAACTCAATGTGAAAATATCATAACAAGTTAACATTACTGCAATAATAGTGTACTGCCAGCAACTCTATTTTCTCCTATACTTTACACGCATCGAATTGAGAAGACATGATACTAATGGTGACCATGTGCTGCAGTAATGGTAGAATTCCAGTAGAGGTCACTACTTTCCGAGTCTAACCCAGTGGTTCCAAACCTTTTTTTCCCTTAAGTGCCCCTTGGCAGCCTATTTCTGTAAATTGTACCCTCATATTAGCGAAATGTTTGTTATTAATATGTTTGCTGTTATTTCAAATGTACATGCTTTTCTCTGCCCCATCTCCCCTTTTTCTCTGTCCCAGGCTACTCCTGCTTCCCCTCTGCCCCAGGCCCACCTGCTTCTCCAGATAGACACACTGACACACATGCAGATACAGGCACACAGATACACATATACAGACATATAGACATACAGGTGCAACCACTGTCACACCATACCATTACTACACCTCATGGTTACTGTTAACATTGTACTCTCAATTAGATGCACGTGAGAGGCTTCTACTGGCAATACATGATTATTGCACTCTGTAAATTAGTGCTAACTTGTTATAATATTTTCAATTAGAGATGGGAATTAGTTTATTATGAATTTATTTTGGACCGTTAACCAACTATTGGGCTATTAACTATTGAATGTATAATTAAGATTGCTGTGAGTCTTTCAGTACTATTATTTTTAATAAAAGTGATGTTTTATATCAGATAATATTACCACATCATTCTAATAAACTTTGCAAATGAGTCTAGTGGTGGACCATTTTAGACTATCAGGACTTAACTCTTAATTAGTCTTTAATAGTATTTACTGACTTCCCTACAATGTATTCACATTATCACAGTTCATTTTCTCGCTGACACTCGCTGCCTCGATGGTTAATACTTCCTAACGAGTCACTCCCACTCCAGTGTGCATGAATTCACGGTCAGTGTCCATGTATTAAGCAGTCTGTGTGTGTACTCAGCAGCCCGTATGTATTCAGCAGCCTGTGTGTATTCAGCAGC